GTTTTTTCTTTTCTTTTTTTTTTTTGGGTTAGATTTGAAAAATTAGATTTTCTTTTATAATTTTTTAAAGTATTATTTTAAATATTTGAAATTTAGTTAAATTTTTTAAATAAAAAAAAAAGTTTTAAGAGAATAGTTTTTGCATTTAAAATTTTGAAACAGAAATATAAAGAAAACTTGTTGTGAAGTCCAATTTTTTAACATGAGAAATTAAAAATGAAATCATTATCAACGATATTTTAATTTCTTCCATATTAATGATATAGAATATTTCACTTAATTAAATATTATTTGTAAATTAGCAACTTAATCAAATATTATTTTTGTAAACTAACAATGTTTGTGAAGAATAATCTTTTAAGATTCCTCTTTTATGGATGTAAATAATATTCTGACCAATAATATCAATTTTGACTCTTATTGAAATTAAAAGATTATTTGGAAATTAAATGAGGTATTATTTATAAGTCAAACATATATATTAATTTTTTTTCTTACATAAACATTATATATATATAGTAGACACATATAGGTGTTAAAAATAAATTCTGACTAATCGAATCACTCTCTTACCATAGAGAATCATATTATTTGTGAAATTTTAAACCAGGTATATTATATGTATACCAAGTTTAATCTTTGTTGACACCGTATTTGGTCCGGCTCAAATTTTATTATTTTATTTTTTTATTATTAACATTAATATTAATATTTTATATTATAAAATTTTATTTGTTTTCATTAAAAATAACATATTTTACTAAGGTAAGGTTTTAATTAAATTTAAAAATAGATTTTGTTTTAAAAGAATTTGATTTATTATTAACATAAATAAATAAATAAGATTTGATTTTAAGTAAATAAAAAGATTTGTTTAAATTTAAAAAAAAAAAATTTTATTTTTAATAAAACTGATTCTGTTTTACTCGTCAAAACTATATTCGCCGCTGCACATTAGCAGAAAAAAGTGAGTGAATAGCYAGTCCCATGCAAGTTTATCAATCGGTTTCCTTTATCCTGTTGCAGAAATATGCAAAAAAGAAAGGCTTCTATTCTTGTGAATTAGAAAGCACTAAAAAAACTTGTGCATAGAACTTGCTATCTTTTTKATTTCTTTTTTCAAAGTCAGATAAGAAATGAGTGAGAGATGAAATGGAGTATTCATCTYCATCTCTCTTAACTAACGAAACGTGACCTTTTCTCCGTTATCTTCCTCCTTTTTTTTCTCTCTTCAATTTTGACCCTCCCCATTGTTACCGTTACATTTTTGCTTATTTAAGGAGGGGAAAGGGAACTGACAGAACACAACGTGAGAGCAGGGGCAGCACAAATCTCATAGAAATTGGCTTTAAAAATTCAAATTTCCTTGCGCATCACACAAGTTTGAGAATTTGCCTGGGCGTCAAATCTGACTTTACTTCACTCTCATTGTCGAAATCTCCTCAAATTCCAATTCATACATGGTAAGTTCAATCATCTCACCCTATTTCGATTACATCAGTCAACTATGAAAGTTTTTTTTTTTTCCTTTCTTTTCTCTTGTCCCAAGTGGATGATAAACGGGGATGGGGGAGAGCATGAATCCCTGATTTTGGCAATAGAATAGACAAGTTTTATAGTGGGACGAATTATTGAGTTTTCACCCCGTTTAACAGAGAAATAGAGATTCTCCGTGATGGTCTAATGACAGTCTCAATTCACATCCTCTCTGTCTCTTTTCATTTCCTCTTGCATTTTTTTTAATCGGTTTCTCCCTTTATTTTTAAATAAAAGAATATTGATTTTTTTTTAAATAAATTTTGTTTTAAAGTTAATAAATCTAAAATCATACGTATGTAAAGTTTGTTTTTGGAAGATTTGTTATTTAAGATTTGAAAATTTTGAATAAGATATTTTAAATAAGTTTGTTTAAATAAGATTTTTTATTTTCATTTTTATTTTTTTTTATAAAACAGTTTTATAGGAATACAAAATAAAGAGTTTTCTTTTTATTTAAATCTTCGTTTATACTTTTGTTTTCCTTTTTTTTTAAATAAAATTAAAAAATACAAAGGTTTGTATTTTAAAAAAGAGCATAATGTGTATCCTAACAATATCACATTGGCAATGCACTAGGGTATTGACATACATGACACAATTTCAAGTCTTTGATTGCCATTTTTTCGTTTATTGTTTTTAAACAAAATTAAAAAATAAAAAGTTTATATTATAAAAAACGATTTTAAATTGCATACTAAGGTCTTTGCACATTGGCAAGAGCTTTGATCTTTCCAATATTCTCGAGGTGTCAAAATTTTTCTAATGACTTTCGTGCCACTCATATGTATTAATTCATATCTTATAATAAAATGTGAATTAATATAATATGAGACATTTAAAATAAAAAAAGTATTTTTTTTTGGACCAAATAACATAATGGGATAATTTTTGACAAAATGTGGTACCGTTTTCAAACGGGTGTCGTAGGGTGCTAACACCTTCCCTACGCTCAGTCGACTCCCGAACCAATGATCTGTTTTTGCAGACCTTGTTTTTATTTTTAGGTGACCAATCACACCTCGTAGATGATTGGTGGCGACTCCAAACCCTTATCTCGAAAGAGACCCTTCAAGGGATGACGTCGGCCACTCCGCGTCGCGATGACGTTGCAATGCTGATTTTCCTTTTTGGCTTGGATGTCTTTTTAATAGGAACTATGATGGCCTATACTCCACGGGGCAATTCTTAATATTTTAATGATTATTAACATTTTCTTTATTAGTTAGGTCGAACAATATTTAGATATTTAATTATCGGTGAGCGCCCATCTTCGAAAATAGATCGTTATTTGTTCTTTAGACCATTGTTTTATAACAATGGTGTAAAGTGTGGTCTTAATATTAGGTCGAGAGACTACAATTTGTATAATTGTTAAAATCCATGGTTTATAATTCCGTGCATTTTTTTGAACCACGGTTACATCAATTTAAACAATCTATAGTAGATCACGAGTGTCTTAAAAACTGTGATTAAACGTCTAAAAGCCAGTATAGTTCATTCTAATTTTGTAGTAGTGCGAGACTTGAATCCTAATTAATAGTTAGTTACAGCCTGTAGTTTTAAGGATTAATCTAACAGAACTTTTCTTTATAGAATTTGCCATCCTTTAATTTATAATATTAAAAGAACAAAACATTTTATCTTTTAATTTAATTTGTTATAAGTTCTTATCTAACAAAGGTATATTCTAATATAACCTAAACTATTGCTATAAATATTGAAGAAATGCTTGCGTTCTGAAATTTGAATTTACTGAAGTCTCAACATCTCAACCCCTCAATCCTTCACTAGGTTTCTACCGCTGTTTTTTCGTTGTAATTGTGTACATTTTCTCCTTACTTTATACTGTAAATTATAATTACTTCTGTTTTCAAGACCCTTAGTTTATCTTATTTGGGAAATATGTAGATTCCCTAGTCCCTCTTCTACGATTGTGGCCTAATTGATATCATGCTTTGAGAAGCTCTACTATCACCTACGAATATAGGAATTAATTTTTAAGGTAGGTGGCCATCATGAGGTTTGAAATCGTTCTTTGTCACTTAATTATCTTAACCACTTTGGATGACCAATGAACCGTTCATTATAGTTAAGTTAAAACTCTCTAGTGAAAAGAAAAAAACTAACAGAAAACGAGTACATTTGATGGAATAAGCTTAAACCATTGGTTTTCTGGATTGCCTTCGCACTTAGAATCATTCAAACACGTGCACTTCTTAGTCACAATTTTTAGGGAATGAGAGGCCCTTTGCAAGCACAAAGGTTGTCCTTGTTCATCAATGGAGGCAAGTTGAAGCTTGGAATTTGAAGCATATTTCCAAGAACTTTGTTGGCTCAAGCAGTCTCGAGATAGGATTGGATGGAGCCCATCTCCTATTGCTTTCAGACACAGTTTAGAGCCTGCCAATTTGATTGGAGCTCCATCTTCATTGTGGACCCAACGATTAGAAGTTTTACAACTACTGCTCCTTAATTGATACCTTTTGTTCATTCTCACACAGTCACCGCTACGAGGATAGTACATTAGGAGCGATGTTGAGATATTTGAACTTGGATCTGTATCAAAAGAATATTATTATATTCTTGAATTGGCAAGGAAAAAAATGTACAATTTGAGTTTTCATTTCAAAATGTGTTAGGAAAAAAACTTTACCGAAAAAGGAAAAGGAAAATAGACAATAATGAATCTTATCTTAAATAAAAAACGGAAAATAATTCCAGAAAATAAAGTATAGAAAAGTAGTAGCCTAACACTTGAAAAAAAGTAAAGTTACGTTGAAGTTTGGTTTGCATAAGCTGAAACCTTTGATAAAATTTAGGGTTTTTGACTTGTGTAAAATTGGCGTCCAAGACGCCAAAGGTTTCTCCGGCGTTTTTCACGCCTTCTCTATAGTAATAGCTACCTTGCAAAGCCCACAAGCCCCAATCAAAATCATTCTCGACAAGGTAGGAAGAAAAACAGGTCAAGAATTGATTTTGGCCCTCATTTGCGCCAGTTTGGTCGATCCCAAATTCACTCACAAACAAAGGCATTGGGTATTCTCCTCTCACTAAAAACCCAACTCGATCTTCAAATCCTTGGTTAACATTGGCACAAAATGTGTTTAATGGCTTCGATGTCCATGAATCACTCATGATGTTTGTGAAAGAGTACAAATGTGCCTCAAACACAAGTTTGTTGTCCAAGTTGAAGCCCATCGATCTGTTCTTCAAGAAGCTGAGATCGGTGTCGTAGCTCAGCCCAGAAACTACTACCAATGCGTTTGGATTATTTTGGTGAATAAATTTAGCTCCTTGGCTCATGCAATGAATCCACATATCCACGTTTTGGTTTGGTCCTCGCAGTTCGTTTCTCAGACTCATTGCTACTACCTTTAAATATTTGAGTATCATGCAACCGTTAAAAACATACAATATACAAGAATGATACGTTATATAAACATACATGTTCAACTAAATGATTGGTTACAAAAGTTTATTTTTAATCCTTAAAATTAAGTTGTCCTAAATAATCATTTTTTCTAGCTTTACCAAAATCAGAACCCGATTCTAGCTAGTTGAGATGTTAATAGGAGTTTAAGAGAGAGAGAAAAAAGTATTAAGGTGACTATTATTTTTCTGCACTTTCGTTCCCAATTTGGATCTCCCCTTTTACCATCAACGGACAAAATTAGGGCTAAGATTTAAATAAAATTTGACAAATAGTAGAAACTCATCATGGTTAATTATCATTAGGAAAAAAACAATATTTATACCATGTGTGAACCAAATGCTATCTTTGGCGAGCAGATGCAAGAAAAAAAAAAACAAAAAAGTTTATTGAGACAAGATTTAAGGACTAAAATGAAACTTTTGAAAGGATAGGTGTACGATTGAAACCAACTCAATTAGAGTTATTTTATGTAATTTAACAATAAAATAAACAAAGCTTATAATTTTGTGAGTAAACATACCTGGGATTTATTCTTTAGGCGTTGAGATAAACATACCTGGGATTTATTCTTTAGGCGTTGAGATGCCAAACCAAGTCCTTGTAGCCATTCTTGGGGATCAAAATAACGATCTCCAAAGAATCCATTGCCATCGTTATCATTACAACACCATCTTGACTGGCTTATATGGTTATCAGAAACCACCAAGACTCCATGTGCTCCAAGCGAATCAACCACTGCTTCATACGCCTCAACTAGTGTCATGTTCAACACAGAAGGATTGTTTTGGCTGATGCCCGCCATAGCATCTTTCATATCCAAATTCTCGAATGACTGTTTTACAGTTAAGTTGGCATAGCGCGTGAACATGTGGATTGAATACGTCAAACGCACGCAGTTGAACCGCAACTTAGCCACCGTAGCAGCAATATCGTCAAGCCGCCGACGGTGGAGACCCTCTGCCAGCATGCCTTGCATATGGGATGGCCAGTTCACACATACCAGCTTTTGGCGGTGACCAGTTGCGTTATCGATGATCCATCTTCCATTGGTTGAAAGAGGCAATGAATAGGCCTTAACCATTAACAAGACGAAAACACAAGCTAAAACAATATCTTTAAACTGTTGCCCCATCCTCTTTTTCACCTTTTTTCGAAAATGAATGCTCTCCAAGTTGAATGATGATGTGTAACACGAGCTTCTCTTCAATATTTATAGCAACGTATTAGGCTATATTAGAACCTGGTTAGTTTTGATAAGAACTTGTAACAAATTTAAAAGAGAAAATATTCTAACTAAATACTGTTTGATATTATAAATGAATTATGACAAATCAATAAAAAAGAATACGTTTTGTAAGGTTAATCCTTAAACTATAGCCTCAACGTAATGTGATTACTAATTAGGATGCAATCTTTAATCTAGATGGTAAAAAGCTCGTTCTTTTAAGTAATAACCCACAAAAGAACAAAATAGTTTCAAAGATATAGTAGCCGATGCCAAAGCAAACATATTTCAATGGTAATTGGCATATACTTCCAACCATGAGGTTGTGAGTTCGATCTCCTACTCCTACATGTTGTACTAGGCTTGGTTTATTGCATTGAGTTCTTAAATATCAATCGATCAACATCATTTTCATTAAAAATACTTCATTTGTCCGTGAGGATTGATACTCGGAATACTCGTTCCGTTTTACTACTTGTGACGGGTTTACATTTGCGCTCTATCATTTATTGTCATTCCAAAATCCCAAACAAGTTTTTGGCGCCGTTACCGGGGACCAATTTGTTTTAGTCTTTTATTACTTTTTGTGATCGGTTTTTGTGATTGTTGTTTCTGTTCTCAAAATCATTTTATTTATATCCAACCACGAAGGTCACTGATTAGTGCATGAGCACGGATTTATTTCTGTTGCAATTTGATCTTGAAATTGAAAGAACCTGTCGTAGGTTGAGAAAAGAACAGAGACTCAGAAAATAGAGAGAAAAGCAAAAA